CATCATTTTCTACGTTAAAATTTAATTTTATATAACGTTCGCACGCGCGGACTGTGCGACCAGGAGTCGAACCCCTGCCGTTTAATCGGAGATATCTCGATTATAGAAGGCCAAACCACATCACTGGCCGACTTACTCTACTTCGCAATTGAGGTGTCGTGTGTGCTTTTCGCGTGGGAATCGAAAGACCGTCCGGACCAAGTGCGTGAAGTGCGAAATCGGACTCTGCAATTCCGGATTTTTTTGAGAATTCCACACGAAGGCAACATTCCGGCAGATGATGCAGGTGGGAAGACAGACACTCCATGCAGATGGTGGCCAAAAATTATATAAGTAGGACATCATTTTCTACCTAAAAAATGTATTTCAAATAACGTCCGCACGCGCGGACTGTGCGACCCCATATGGGGACATTCGTACCGCTGACTTTATTTCTGCGACCCCATATGGGGACTTTAGTCGTTTAAAGGTTAATTTAATCTCATTATAAATTAATGACAAATATTTGTATGCACTTTACGCCCTTTATAGTCATAATACAGATCTCTACGTCTGTGTTTCTTATATTAGAGAGCAACTATTAGTTGCTTAGAGAGAAAGCTGCAAATTAAAGGAGTAACAGATCTGCATGATCAAATATCCACTTACAAAAAAACATTTATGTGCAACTTAAAATAAATATTATTAAAAACACCAAAGAATTTTCATAGATACCAAAAGTCATGTTTCAAGTACAATGATTTGGGCATTAATGCTCACTGAAGCAATAAATTATGCACAATAGCTTTAATATTACACGTGCAGTTACATTTTTCTATTTTCCTATTTTTAAACAAAAATTATCTTTCTCGTTGGACACAACATTACCCCTTTCGGTTGACACAGAGTGATGAAGTGATCACAGAAACAAACAAGAACACATGGCCCCTAGCAAATACCTGGAGTTGGTCCTACAGCAAGTGTGTGAACGTGAGTGCGATTCGTTCTCTGACTGGCTGGAATCACTGTGGAACTCCCCGTCAGGAGATGAACTAGCACTGTCTTGCCTCTCCACTGTTGCCACTTTTGAGGAGAGATGGTGCTTGGAAGACTTGAGTGCAGAAATGGAAGATCTGGACTCTGTCTGCAATAAAGGAACCTAAAACCAAGAAATGTGATGAGGACAGCAGCTATCAGTTGGACAGTTACATAAACAGAGGCTAATCACTATGTCATACGAATCTCCATAACTGCAAAGCACAACATAATATTAATTTTACAGTGCCTCCAACTGTGGTATTCTCAACCATCATGGTCTCTGAACACATAACAAAGACAGAACCAAAGATTCTCTACAGGTCCGTGACATTGGTTAATTCATTATATGAACACTGTCATGTGTCCCGGGTTCCGTGACTAATACTAATGGGTTCTAGATTGGATGACTGGATTTATTTGCACTTCTATTACAATCAATCTTACGAATGATGGATGCCAAATGATGACTCCCTTACAAATAAACTACTGAACTAACTTCTGAATTCTCTTACGTCTGAATGATTGAACACTCAAATAAATTACATGTCCCCTTTTACAACTTCAAGGTGAACCAAATATAGATCACCATCTCAAACAGTTCCTCTGCTATTCTTTGTTTATCCGTTGCTATGAAACATGTGTTAATTTTGTAGCAATGGTCTCGTTTTCCCACAAGCCTCTCCATTATCATGGATACATGCTTAGCAAGCTGGAATTGAGGCACTTGTCATATCATGGAATAAGTTTTTGTATGCCTGTGAGCTTAACCACGCTGTGACAACTTCTATCAACTCATTATTCTTGAAGTGCTGTGATCCCAAACAGTTCTTCAGGTAGGCAAACAGGTGGTAGTTGCTCAAAGTGAGATCGGGGCTGTAAAGAAGTTGGTCAAACAACCCCCAGCTGAAATGCCAGGGCAGTGCTTGAATGCAAGGAGCTGTATGTGGATGAATGTTATGGAGAAGCACTCTACAGTTCTCTTAGTGTTTTTTAACACACTTCTGACATTACTGTGGTCCCCTGTTGAATGAATTCCTTCATCAGCACCCCTTTCCTGTCCCAGAAAACAGCTGCCATCAGATTTCTGGCATGCAGGTTTTTTATTTAAACTTTTTCGGCTTGTTTGGTTAAACATGTGTACATTAACTGCCGTGACTGCTCTTTGGTTTCAACATTCCAACACCTGTTACTTATACAGTGTGGTTGAGAAATTCATCACTATATTTGTTGTATTTCATGAAAAAAGTCAAAGCTGAAACCATTTTCTGCATTTTGTGTGCAACCATGAGCAAATTCCAAACCCATCTTGTGCAAAACCAGTGATAGTCTATCCTAACTCTGATAATCTTGTTGAGGACAGTGTGTGAAATTTCTGGAAATTCACACAAATTCCGAAATTGTGAAGCACCATCTTTTACTAATTTTTTGGTCAACACTTTGTATAAGATCATCACTCACTGCAGATGGATCTTCACCTTGAACATTTGTTCATTTCTTTGCCTGTCTTTGAACATTCTACACCACTGTCTTATTGTTCCTTCACTTGTTACATTTTGGTCATAAACTGTACACAATTCATGATGGACTTCTTCATCACTCATGTTTTTAGCATGAAGAATCCAGAAAACAGCGCAAATTTCGCAGCTGGCAGGGTTGTCATTCACAGGACACATCATAACTCACTCTGTAGAGACAAGCACAAACGTTAGGTAACTGGTTATGTGATGGTTTACAAGGCAATGAGTCATGTGATGCTACCTCACATGCTCCTATATTAGTTGCCTAAAATAAACGGAGGTTACTTTCTGAATAAGAGAAATTGGTTCTACCCCTATTTTCAGATTACTGGTCATCATTATACTGACAGATCTGTATTACTTTTAAAATTCTGTTAGTAGTGGCAATGGCTGGGGACAAACCCAAGATCCTTTTTGAATACTAGACTAGTAACTTAACCACCAGACCATGAAGGTGGGTTCTGATCCCCACTTTCACCATAAATACCAAAACAGAACATAATATCTCAGTATAAAAACAACCAATACCTCTGAATAACAGAGCAGAGCCAATTTCTTAAGTGCCAAGTGTAGTAAAAATATACCTCTGACAATGGACGATATCTAACAGAATAGTCTTACAAAGATCAACTTGCTTCTGAGGCGGGACCCATTCCATTTACCTTATACAGTGGAGTCATGAAGATGATAAACACAATGGGATCTACATCATTAAATGACTGGCTTAAACTACATGGGTAACATCCCAAAAGGCCGTGATCTTAATGTTAACTGCTGCAAGAACCTCAAATCTGTCCTGACTTTATCATTTAGGTCTATTCAGCAATAGAGAGATTCATAAAAAATGAGAGAACTGCAAGGAATCAACAGTTTCTGCATTCATTGCAACCTTGGGAGTGATGCTTAATATTAGGAGAATATGTCTCAAAGAGTGAATAACTCACCACAGTCTGTGGATCCACACTCACTATGCTTGCAGTTCTGATCATTGGTGTCTGGTGGCGCGTCTTTGTCTGAATTACATAGTTATATTCATACTGGCACACATCATTACGAGGATCCCACGGACGAAGGTCTGCATGCTTGTACATCCACTGACCCGAAATAAGATCCTATAATGAAAATGATCCTAAGTGTCTTTCTCGAATATTATGAGCATACTATTATGAAACTGTTTATCATTAGCATTATCATTATTATTATTATTATCATTATCATTTTGATGACCTGAAAATATTTAAAAAATGACCTATAAAATGAACGAAAAAATCCAAAAAATGACCTAAAGGAGAACGAGAAAGAACAATTCGCTTCCATATTATTCACATTTCAGAGAACATATGAAGAAAAATTCCCTAAAATGGCCAAGGATGACAAGAAATACCCTTAAAAGCCTAAAAAATTAACTATAAAATTTACATTTCTGTAACCAGCAGCTCATATCCGAGATTTATATATTTAAGCACATCGCATAGGATACAAGGCAAAAAAGATGACATGTCATCAAAATCCAGGCCCTGATTATCAGTGTTTGCAGGTATGAATAAGCTTTCTTACACAACAGCAAATTACAGATAGTGTGTTATCTTTGGAGTCACCTGCTGATTCTTACACACTTTGAAACGTACAGACAATGGAAAAATTGCATAATTCTGAAGCTACAAAAGATAGGCAACAGAAAACAGCTATCAATCAACTGGAACTGCCTCCACACATATTTCAAATCCAGTATATAGTGCAGCTCTAAACTTCATTAGAACTGATATGGCTGCATACACAGAACAGTCTGTGCTGTTGCCACTGCAGAGTGGGTTACTATTTAACTGGTTTCTTCAGGTTACGAGATTGAAGACATAGGCAGCAGGAACCCCCCCCCCAGAACACAGATAAAAATCTACCAGACAACATTGCATCACATCCCAGGGACAACAATCTTCATGCACCATGTAACACCAAAAGGTTTCTAGTTTAAATAATTCCTCACAATTTTGGAAAGCCAAATTAACTCTTTCTCTGGTAGTGGATATCCAAGACCCATTCATGAACAGAATATTTCCCCTGTGTATCTGTATAGGCATCTAGCTTCTTGGTACATGTCATACTGGCATTTAAATTCACATGTTTTAATCTCTGCACATTGTGTGTCATGATTTTTATACAATTTTTTCCCAGGCTGCTGTGTTGAACCACATATCATTTTCACAATACTGTGAACTGTCATGGACACTGACAAGCACTAGAAGTTTCAGCAGACACATTCCTTTGAAGCTTACATGTTATGTACAGGTGCAGGGCCATGGAGAGAAAACACAACCAAGCATTAAAGAGCAGACACCAATATCCACCATGATAATGGGGCAAAGGCTGTACAGGGGACAGCAGTAATCATCATGGCAGTGAGGCAAACTGTTTTTCAGTTACTGGTACTATATACGGAAGTCAACATGTTAAACAAGTTTTGTATCTTCTGTTCACACTACCTCACATATCTATCAGCAGAATCGTAAGAACATCAAAACAAACATACGGCACCTGTTCGAAGTATTTAGGAATCCATTCCAGACATTTCATTTTGCGTTCCTTGGCTGCCGCACGTTGGGCTTCCTCTAAAGCAGTCTTTTCCTCTGTTGCTGCCACCTGTAAGTTCAGACCTAATATATCAAACTGCTAACTGCCACCTCTTGGAAAAAAGAATCCAGGCAATGTCTGATTCCTAATCTGAGAAACTGCAGTCATTTGTCTCTCCCCCCAACCCCAAAGAAAAAACAACATAACCTTACTTAGGGGGCATGCGGTAGAATAGTTGGTTGAGGGGCTATGCTACAAGCCAAAAGGTCGCGGATTCAAGTCCCAATGAGGTCACTGGATTTTTTTCAATTGACCTAATCCTTCCAGCTGCACTAGGCCCTGGGGTTTACTCAGCCTCTAACAGAAATGAGTACAAGGAATTAATTAAATAATTTTCCTGGGGAGTAAAGCGCAGCAGGCGCGTAAGGCTGACAACCTTACCGCCATCTTTGAGCTGACTGTCTAGTTGGTATGGGACCCTCAATGTCTCACAACCCAATGGGCCTTCACGGCCTGGTAGTACAGGGATACCCTTACTTTTTATAACCTTACTTAAGACAGTTCAAAAGAGTTAACTTTCTTAGTGTCAATTTATTTTAAAATTGGACAGTTCTCCCATTGGATATATAATGTCATTTAATCCAGCAAAATTCAACTAACACTTCAGAGGAACCCTGGATGACTTTCACCATACTACAGAGCATCATATTCTGAAAGACAGAACTATCCATAACCACTGCTGTGAGAATAGAAAATCCCACACATTTTAAAGTTGTATTAACTTATACCAAGGAACTGTGTATTGGAAATATAAGGAATTTTAATGTATGTGCCTTTTAAGATTTTGATAGTCATTTTTCAAGAAGAGCATTTGTGGAACTTATCACTTAATTTTTATAAAATAAAAAATTTTATTTAAAGAAAAATACTTTGAAAACATAATATTAAATTTTATTTAAAGAAAATATTTCAAAAATATAAACCTGGAATATAATAATAACAATTAAATGCAATGGATGAAATAATGCTGATGCCCTCATGATTGATACAACTATCTTTCTCTGCAGATGAAACATAAGAACACAATAAAATTTACTTGACAGCCAACATACCGTACTTACGCATGTATAGGCTGCATATTTTTTGCCAAAAATTCAAGAGGAAAACTGGGGTGCGGCTTATATTCGAAATCACACTTCATTTAAAAAATTATATTCATAATTAGTAATACAGGGTGTTCAAAGATCGAGGAAACCGGGGCAGCAGCATAGAGCGGATGGAATGTTTCTCCGCGACTACTGTGCCCCTCCCCGCTAGCGAGAGTGCAGTTGTGTCGCTGATACCCTTACATCAGTTTCTGTATATGCACACATTTATAAGAATACTGTAAAAAGATAACACAAACTTACCGTGCTTTATAACAGGTGCTGAAAGTGACCCCCTTCTGCTTGCAAACATGCTTCGCATCGCATGAATAAATTATGCGACACTTTCTGAAGTTGGTCCACGGTAATTGAACCATATTACTGTTCATCACTTGACTCGTTACTGTCGATGTCGCTCTCGCTCGAAGTTTCGCTGTCAGGTGATGTCAGCCATACAGCGTCATCTTCAGTCCCGTCCATTGCGTTGGAAATGGATGTGACTTTAAAACGTTTGGAAACCATTTCTTCTGGTATGGTGTTCCATGCAGCCACAATCCACTCACACATTTGACTTAATGAAGGTTTCTTCAATCGTCCAGTCGGCGTCATCTCCGTGGAACCGCATCTCCAGTCCCGGTAAAAGCGCCGCAAATGAGACTTGAAAGGACGGTTTATTGACACGTCAAGTGGTTGTAACATGCCAGTCATCCCCC